CAATCACGAATTTCTAGTCGGCTTGTCTGCATCGAGGCCGTCTGCGCATCCCCAGGGAACGGAGGACAGCCAGGCCTGCGCGGTGGGATGCCAGGGGCTGTGCAGCGACAGAAGCTACCTTCGAAGGGGTGGCGGGCCCCAGCCTCCTCCGACCCCTGCAGCCCACGGACAGCAGGAGGCCTCGCTTCCTATTTCGCTGGGAGCACGGAGAAGACTGGAGGAGAAACTTGTCCACAGCTGTCTTCCCTTCCCCATACCCCACGCCCACCTCCCCTGCCCACCCCTCTCTGCTGCCTCAATGGCAGGGGTCTCTGTGTCCCTCTCTGGAGCCATCCCTGCCCCTTGTGGACAGCACCAACGTCTTGCTGCCATCTCTGATGCGTCTTAATGTAAAGTCGTCCTCCGCCCGGCTTCCCCAGGCCTGCCCCAGGTTTCCCGACTCTGAGAGGCAGCCCCACTCCTCCCTGCCCCGGGCTAAAACTTGGCCGCAGCCCTGACTCAGCCGGCCCAGCCAGCCAGGCCCGTCCTCACAGTCTTCTGTAGCAATAACTTCATTAACTTGTCTTCCTCCAGCTGTCATCCCCGGGAGGTGGGCCACCGCCCTCCCTCCCTGTCCTCCGGCCTGCTGTCATCGCCCTGCCAAGGCTCCCCTGCCCGAGAACTCTCCGAGCTCCTCCTGCTGTCGCTCTGGGGTGGAGCCTTCCTCCTCCGAACCTCCCCCCTTTCTATTCCACCTTGTCTCTGGGGCCGTCTGTTCCAGAAGCCTTGAGTCTTACTACTGTCGGTAGTGACAGACGTGCCACGTGCCGGGCGTTTGGCCGCCGTGACCTTCACAGCCGCTGTGCAGTGCAGCGTCCTTTTCACAGATGAGGAAACTGGGGCCTGGAGAGACCACACGGGTCACGCCCCCTAAGTGGCAGAGCTGGGATCAGACTTCATGGCCCTCTGGTCCAAAGCCCTTGATCCGTGCCACTGACCCCATCGCACCCCTCCCCCTCTGGCAGCAGCTCCCCCTGTTCCTTGCCCCTCCTCGCAGCCTCCCAGTCCCAGCCCACAGCTCCGCCTCGCGCGGCTCCGGCGGCGCCAGCCCACACCGCTCACCCTCGCCGCTTCTCTGGCAGGAGCCTCAGCCTTGCACAATGCAGTGCTTAATTATAGATTGCCTCATGCAGCTCTCTGGCTCTTCCACGTTCGCCTACCTTGTTCCCAAGAAGCCTGAGCGTCGGAGTTAGGGATGGAGCTTCCGCTTCCTCCGCTCTCCACGGCCCGGCACAGGGCAGGGCGCGCTGCACTGCGTGAGCGACCTGACCTGACTCCCCAGGAAGGGGACCGGGTCTCTGCCGATCCAAAAGCTGACCGGATTCCACCCTGCCACGGCCCTCCCTCCACGCCCACGGTCCGCCCAGATCTCTGCGTGGGCACACGCGCACGCACACACATTTTCTCTGTTACACGCACCTCTGATCAAAAGCTCTCTTCCCGGACTGCGGCGATGACGTGCCTGGAACTGCCTACCCAAGACAGAAAACTCTCCTCACTGACTCCTGGCATTGTCCTCGTTGTAGAATTCCGGAGAGGCCCCAAGAGGCAGCCAGAGTGGCCGGGAGCTCTCCAGGGCCAGGAGGGCCATAGATGTCACATCCTGACAGAGAGATTAGAGCTGGATCAGGCATTAGGCGGGGCCTCGGTGTCTTGATTGTAACTCTGGTCCTGTCACTGTGGTCCCCGTCGGGGAGTGGAGAGATGTGATCTTGCCACATCAGTCTTTGCAATACTCCCATGTGGTGACATTTGGTCCCCACCAGGACCACACTGTGCAGCCATGGGGCGCGTAACAGCGGCCCCTGAGCCAACCCTGTTCTCCTTGCGCCTCCCACCTTGCCAAAACATCTCTCTGCGCTGACCCCGATGCCTCCACCCGTCACCTCCCAAGCTGTTCATCCTCGGGGTTAAATTCCGCCATCTCATACTTCTCATTTCTAAGTGGGAAGAGGAGCGTGCAATATGAAACCCCAAACACTTAGAATGATCTAGATTTCACATTAATTTCTTTCCAGACACTGGGGAGGCAGCATGAGGGCATGAGGCTTGGTGAGGGGCACTGACCACAGGTCAAAGGGGCAGCGAAGGGCCCCGGAGAAGAGACAGGGAGAGGTGGGGAGGCGGTGGTGGGAGGCGCCCCTGAAACCAAACTTATCTTCCTTTACAATTTTGCCCGTGGCCATTCCTAACCTGTAAATAAACAAACAAGTGAATAAACAAAGAAGAGCTTATGTAAGAAGAGCAAATAAAAATAATAGTGTAATATGCTCCGCGTAGCACACAGCCTGGAGGGGTCAGGAAGGGGCGTCGCTGTGGGGGGACTGCGGATGGCATGTGTCCGTTTGGAAAACAGAGCTGCACTCTGGGGGCAGGCGCACCATCCTCCGGGAGGAGGCGGCTGGTAAGTCCTTTATTGATGTGGCCGTCAGGGAGGGAGGCCCTCACTGATAACCATCACAGAGGTTTTGCAACTGGATGCATGAGGCTGAGGGTTGGGCAGTGCCCGCCTCCTCAGGCATGCCCTGCCGGAGCCGTGAGCACGCCTAGGTGTACCAAGGATGGGCAGAGTGCTGCGGAGCCTGTGCCCGAGATGGATCTAGCCAGGCAGTGAAGCCAGCAGGGGTCCCTCAGGACCACGACCCTGCTCTTGCGCCCAAGGGGCCTCCTGCACCTCGTCCCGGGCCTGGGGCCCCTATACCAACCTTTGGGGCTGCCTCCCGGCGGAGCCTGGCAGGCCCAGGCGGTGGCTGCCTGAACCACCTGCTTTGCCCCAGCTGGCCGGGCACAGACTGCCACATTCCAGGCTCCGGGCTGGCAGGGAAGCTGGGCAGTGAATTCCAGCAGGGAGCGGCAGCCCAAGCCGGCCAGGCAAGCGCTGACGGGTGGTTCCTCCTCCCCGGGGGAGGCTAGAGGCTGAGGAGATGGAAGAACAGGTGTTCAAGGGGGACCCGGACACCCCGCATTCCATCTCCTTCTCGGGCAGTGGATTCCTCTCCTTCTACCAGGCGGGGGCCGTGGATGCCCTGCGGGACCTGGCCCCCCGGATGCTGGAAACAGCCCATCGCTTCGCCGGGACGTCGGCAGGTGCCGTGATTGCGGCCCTGGCCATCTGCGGGATTGAAATGGGTAAGGCCTCTGTTCTGGTTTTCTGGGGGTCTCTGGAAGGATTCCACACAGCGGAGCCTGAGGGAGGCTTGGGGGTGCTTTGGGGAGCAAAGCCAGACGTGGTTGGCAGGAAAGGAAGAGGAGGGGGAGGGGGACAATGGCAGCTGTGGCATCTGAAGGTTGGGTCCGCCTCATCCCAGTCTCTGACCCACGGGGTGAGCTTGGACCTGTCTCTGCCTCCCCTCAGGGCCCTCCCCTGTGAGATGCAGCGTCTCCCAGGCACGGGGAGGGAAGGGCGGCATCTCCCTCAAACAGCCTGGTGCCGGGTGTTGGAAGTCATACCGCAGCGCAGCCACACACTGGGGTCGACTGCTGCTCCGGCCTCTTCTAACCCTTGGGAGGGGCAACACTTCAAACCTCGGTCATCTTGGTGGGGTGGGTTTGTCAACCAGCTTCCAGGTGGCTGGAAAGATGAAAGCGCTGAGGCTGCGGGGTGGACAGGAGGCCCCCGAGGGGAAGACACTGGGGAGGACCGGTGGGGAGAGAATATGGAAGATGTCCCCTCACCTTCTGCCCTCCTGGTCCAGGGGCCCCAGAGAGGGGGACGGGGCCACCCTGCGGACCCAGAGGGAGAAGTGCCGTCCCGGGCTGGGAGCAGACCCATCCAGCACCCGGAGAACAGGCCCAGCGGCCACATGGGCTGCCTGGGGACAGTGGGGAAGGTCTTTATCCACTTACTGAGTTCCTGTTCTGTGCCAGGCTCTGTTCCAGGCACTGGGGACAAAGTCCCTGCTCTGTGGAGCAGAAATCCTAGAGAAAAAACATAATAAACATTCAAACGAGGAACCTTCTAATGTAATGTCTAAGATCTCTGGATAAAATAGTAAGATCTGTGAATGACATCACAGCAGGAAAGGGACAGAGAATACAGTGGGGACTATTTTAGAAAGGTGGTCGGGGAAGCCTCTCGGAGCAGATGACGGCCAAGCTGAATAAAGTGAGAGAACCGGCACCCGAAGAGCCTGAGAAAAGACCTGCCCGGTGGGGGGGCAGCCTGGGTGCCCGTGGACGTGGGCGGGAGAGCGGAGAAGGGGCGGAAGGGGTGGCCGGGCGCGCAGGACACAGAGAGGGAGGCAGGAGAGAGCACGTGCTGCTCACGTCGGGTCCCAGCTCTGCCATTTCACGGTATGGCTGGAGGCAAGTTATTGAACTTTCTATGCCTCAGTTTCTCCATCTGCGAAAGGGCGATCCTAATGGTGTCTGATTCTCAGGTTGTTAAGGGACCGACTGAGCTAATATGAGTGACCTGCTTGGACCAGGGCCTGGCTCAGGAATGAGTCAATGATCCGATCTGTGCTTTCAGGATCCCTGATGGCGGGGCAGGGAGCGCGTGCCGGAGGAGGCAAGGTAGAAACCAGGCGAGGGAAGAGATTGGATCCAGATGGTAGAGCCAATGAGACGTGCTCTCTTGCCGCCGCACGGTGGGAGGACGTGGCTACCGCCTTATCCGGGCACAAGCAGGGCGCCTGCCTGCCTGGGGGTCCCCACGCTGCGGGCAGGTCTGTTTTAAAGAGTAATAGTAATGCCCGTTCACTGAGTATCTCCTGTGCGCAAGATAATTTTTTCTTTTTAATGATAATTTTACTTACGAAATACACAAGTGAAGAGCAAAATCTTTCTCACTGGACAAAACTCAAGCGGTGTGAGAGTGCAGAGTGACAGTACACGGAGTAGAAAGAAAGCCTCTACTCCCCGCTGTCTCCGATCCCACTCTCCCCGCGGTAGCCAGTGCTAAGGCCTCCACACCCATCCTTCCAGAGCTTTTCTAACGCACAGAGCTCTCTGTGAATGCAGCGGTTAATGCCTCATCACCCGATGGACCCGGGGACAAGCCTTCAGAAAGGGGCCTGGGGTGAGTGCCCCCCATCCCTGTCGCAGGGTCACAGAACTCCTGCCCCAGACACCCGGCTCGGGGATTCTCTCTCCCTTTCCAGGTGCCCGCTTTGCTCACCTGCCCCACCACCCCCACCCTCCTCCTGTCTTTGTATCAACTTCTTAAAATACACCTTCTGAGCAAGTCATTGGCGTCTTTGCCCTCTGGCATTCAAAGACTTTTCAGAATTAATTCAATTCACCCAATTCCATAAATACTGTCGAAAACCCACTTAGCCAGGCTGTGACGGTCACAGACGGCAGGCAGGGAAACTGACACCCGTGAAAAGGATACCTAATTGTAGAGTGTCATCAAGCACTAGGCTGTGGGTTGCTTGTAACCGTGGCAGAAGGTCAGGGAAGGGTGAGGAGTGTGGGACTTGCTCTGTCCACGTGACATCATGTTTATGAGACTTAGCCACGTCACCCCAGTCTAGCACATTCATTTGAACTGCCATGCAATTTACCATTAACCAGCACGTCCTGTATGTCAGGCACTGCTCTCCCTCATTGGTATATTAACTCATTCAGGCCTCACATCAACCCTTCCAGGTGAAAACTGTTATTATCCCCATTTACAGAGGAGGAAACTGAGTCATGGAAATCTTAAATAACTCGCCAAGGTCATACAAGCGGTACTTGGTAAAGCTAGAATTTGAACCCTGTCTGACCAGAGACTACACTCTTACCCTTGAAACTATTCTGCTTGACAAAGCAGTGTTGGGGGAGGGGATGCTGGTTGGATGGCAGGGTCAGGGAAGTCTCTCTGAGCAAGTAGAGTACACACACCTGAGGATGTGAGAGGATGAGCCCAGGAATATCTCGGGGAGAGCGTTCCATGCAGAAGGAAAAGTGACTTCGCACAAGTCCCATCACCAGTTAGAAGCAGAAAAAGAACCAGGACTAGATCTCTTGACTTTCTTTAAGTCTCCCATTAAGACTATGCCACAGGCCAGTTAGCCATCTTATTTAAAGACATGGCCAATATTTTGTTGTTATAAACAACACTGCAATGAACATCCTCATTTGTGCCTGCCATGGCCACGTGGAATGTATGTCACTGTAGAGTACGCATGTCACTGACTTTGCGGGACTTTGATAAATCACTCTCCAAAGTGGTTGTAACTATTTAACTACTAACAGCATTTATGAGTCCTAATTTCCCCACAATGTCAGACTTGAAAATTTTATGCCAGTCTAGTGAATGGTAAATTATATCTCATTTATTTTGTTTAATCTGCATATCCTGATTGCTAGTGATGCTAATCATCTCTATGTATTTATTGACCACTTCTGTTTCCTCTTCTGTAACTTACCTGCTCAATACCTTTTCCAGTTTTTTCCTACTGAGTTATCTTTTTTCTTTAACTTGTAGATGTTCTTTATGTATTCCATACACTTATCATTTGTCTGTTATAGCAACTGCACCTACCTTTTCCCACTCTATGGCTTGTCTTTTTACTTTGTTTTGATGTCTTTTGACATTCAGAAAATTTTAACTTTAATGCAGTCAAATGTATCCATCTTTTCCTCTTATAATTTGTGGGTGTTTTGGTTGTTTTTCAGGCTTTTGTTGTTGTTTTTTTTTTTGAGACAGAGTCTCGCTCTGCTGCCTGGGCTAGAGTGCTGTGGCATCAGCCTAGCTCACAGCAACCTCAAACTCCTGGGCTCAAGCGATCCTCCTGCCTCAGCCTCCCAAGTAGCTGGGACTACAGGCATGAGCCACCATGCCCGGCTAATTTTTTCCATATGTATTTTTAGTTGTCCAGCTAATTTCTTTCATTTTTTTTATAGTAGAGATGGGATCTCGCTCTTGCTCAGGCTGGTCTCGAACTCCTGACCTTGAGCTATCCTCCTACCTCGGCCTCCCAGAAGACTAGGATTACAGGCGTGAGCCACCGCGCCCGGCCTTTTTTTTTTTTTTTTTGATACATGATCTTGCTCTGTTGCCCAGGCTGGAGTGCAGTAGTGTGATCATGGCTCACTGCAGCCTTGAACTCCTGGGCTCAAGTGACCCCTGCCTCAGCCTCCCAAGTGGCTAGGACTACAGGCACAGCACCACACCCAGCCATGTTTTCTGTTTTGTTGCAGAGACAGGATCTCACTACGTTGCCCAGGCTGGTCTCGAATTCCTGACCTCAAGCGATCCTCCCACTTTGGCCTTCCAAAGTGTTGGGACTACAGACATGAGCCACCATGCCTGGCCATATTTGTGTTTTTAAATATCTTTCTTTATTACAATGATTTCTTCTACATTGTCTTTCAAAGGTTTTAAAGTCTTCATATGTAGGGCAATGGATCTGGAATTTATTTTGTTGGTGGTTGAAGTAGAGATCTAATTTTTAAGTTGTTTTGCCATATGATAACCAATTAGAAGCTGCTCTCTCCACACTTGTTTGAAATGCTGTCTCTGGTATATTAATGGAAAAAAACCCCAAACTCTGTAAAATAATTTAGAGAGGCTTATTCTGAGCCAAATGTGTGTGACTGGTCTGGAGTACATGGCCTCAACAGATCCTGAGAAAATATGTGCACGATAGCTGGGTTTGGTTATATACATTCATGGAGACAGGAATTACACGTAAGATCTAAGTCAATACGTGGAAGGCGTACATTGCTTTGGCCTGAAAAGGCTGGACATCTCTAAGTGTGTGGGGGGGCAGGATTACAGGTGATGGTGGGTTTGAAGATTCTTTGATTTGTAATTGGTTAAAGAAATGAAGTTTTGGCCGAGCTCAGTGGCTCATGCCTGTAATCCTAGCACTCTGAGAGGCTGAGGCGGGCGGATTGTTTGAGCTCAGGAGTTCGAGACCAGCCTGAGCAAGAGCAAGACCCCGTCTCTACTAAAAAAAGAAAGAAATTAGCTGG